TAAACTCCGATTTTATGACTAGCTTTCAATCTTAAACACCACTTTCTGTTCCATTTTTCAATTTTAAGCTGTAACTGGGAACACTTTTTTTATCGTTAAACTCCGACTTTATAAGTGGTGTTTTATATTAAACATGAAAACTCTAATTTAAAATTTGAATTCGTTGAGTTTATCGAATATAAAAATTTATAAAATATGAAAATAAAATAAATTTTTTACCGATAAACTCCGAGTTTATGAATGGTGTTTAATGTTAAACATGTGGTGGTAAAAATGTGGTCCGAACAACTTCCAAACCACTTTCTAAATTTACGCTGAAATTCGGACCACATTTTCAACGTTAAACTCTGAGTTTATAAGTGGTGTTTAGTATTAAACACCAAATTTATGAATTGTTTTAATTTTAATTTTAAATCGCTCAGTTTATAAGTTGTGTTTAATGTTAAACACCAATTTCTGGTATATTTTCTAATTTTAAGCCAAAATGTGGATATTTTTGAACCTCTTCAACTTTGCTGTCTGGATAATACTTGTATCTGGTACTGTTCGAATTGTATACTCCTTTTCTAGTAAAATTAGCTACATTTTGCACCTAATTTAACCATATTACTATTATTTTCGTTACCTATTATTGTAGTTTCAAAGCCTGGGTTTTCATAAAATAAGAGTAAAAAAATTAATTTAATGGGAAATTAAGTTGGTCAAAAGTATAGACTGTAGGGGCTTGTAAAGTAGATTTAGTGAATTTTCTACATGCCGAAAATATTTCGGTTTTAACGAGTTCAAGTTTGACCAATTAGTAAATGCTTAGTTCAACATGGTAACTAGAACCAAAAATTCAAAAATTACTTGGATTTCGAATAACTGTTTATGGTCTTCACCTAAAATATAATATATGGTCACACAATTGTGGAAAACGTGTTAATCACAATACTAATTGGCTTTCTGTGAGTTGTGAAAATAACCCTTTCAAAGCTCAAGTTATTCTGAAGTGCTATAGATGTGATCAAGAAGCGTCTCCTTCTTCATGTTGTGTTAAAGTTATATATATTTTTCTAGAACTGCTTTTCTTACCGTACGCTGATTACAGAATGAAGAAGTCTAGTAAAATCAAAAAGTATAACACTCTCTCATATACCCCCCAAGAGAGCTGCTGCTGTCTAACTTTTCTACTTTTTTCTTCGTCACGATTTTATAGTTAACGCAACTCTCTGAATAACAGTCATTTTCACTTTAGCCCATTAGTTCGGTTGCTGCCTTAGCCTTGCAAATCACTCAGACATACAATATAATTAATGAGCGCCTACAAAGAAGCTTATTTACTCAACGCGACTGCGCTCATCAACGCAAGCGAATCGAGTTGAGCGCCCATCTTTCATAAATTATAAACATTAATCGCGTTTTCTTTTATTTTGTTTTTCCACTTTCTTCATGTATACGGCCTTCAACGCTTTGAATTTTTTTATTTCAGCGCAATTGCGTGACAAGCGAAAACTTTCGAAGAAAAGTTGAGGAAAATGTTGCCACTTTGTTTTTCATTTCTTCACCACAGGCACAAACGCCTCGACCAGCCCATAATTTACATGACAAAGGCCGAGGCTATAAAAATATAAATAATGTGTAAATATTGTTTACAAACAAGAAAGTAATAGTTAAAAATAGCAAAAATAACAACAACAAAAATGAAAATGCAACAAAAGAGAAACTTGAAGTATTGCGCTGCGCCTGGTTTGCTGTGGCAGTTCGTTGAGTCGCGTGTCGACTTTGTTTACTCGTGCCACCTTTTGACAATTATTTCGGTGCTTACCCGCCGTTCAGCCCTCTGCTGCACACGCTTGCATGCAACAAAGAAGTTTGTGTTAAATTCATGCGTTCGTGCGCGCCAGCTTGCCTCTTACATTTTTCACAAGTTAGCAGCGGCAACAACTTTGCGCGACTTTGTTTATCACCTCTTGGATGGACGGACGGAAGGGTTGCCGCCTTTTAGCAGCGCAGAATTTCAGCCACTTTTCGAGCGCGTTGCACGTTGCAATGTTGCAGGCAGTCAGCTAAGTCAAGCCAAGCGTTTTATATTGCTTGTCGCAAGTTGTTTGCCAGGTGTTGGCAACGCGCGCGTGCCGCACTAAATTTACAAAGAATATAAACTGTGTAATGCCAACAATGCATAACTTTGTGTACTCGTTTGCGTACAAAGGACAATGTGGGTAAACATTTTATAGAGAAAATGGTAATTGTTAAGAACTGGAGCAGTTGGCAAAAGCGCGTAGTAAGAAAATGTTAAATTGTTGTATGCCTCTCTAGCATGTAACATTCCTGCAACATCGGCTGCCATATGCTTTTTATAAGCGTCACAGATTGTCGTTACAGGAACGCTAAATAGGAGAAAGTTATCTGGGATTTCTTAAGCTCTTAAAATTCACGTCAAAGTTTATCAATATGGAATAACTCAAAGCGAAAGTGGGTTATGTGAATGTAAGGATTGTGTGGGAAGATATAATTTCTAAGCCAGAGTGGCTGATAAATATAATAAAACTGATATGAATGCCTTTTCACTAGAAAATATTATTTGTTTCCTCTAGCTTAGTGATTTATCACTTTTGTGTAGCTATACCGGAAGAGAGAGAACCAACACCATTTTTATTTAGCTCAAATTCCACGATCTCTAGTCGGTTTTCTAACTACTCATGCTTTCAGTCACTCACTACCTGTTTTTTCAACTTTTAGTATATCTCTTTTTCTCTCTCACTCAACTGTTAATTTGCTAAGCAGCTTTTCTAACTTCTTACGTTTTAACATCAAGCTGTGTCTCTCTCTAATAATTATTAAACCATCCCTTTCTCTTGCTCATTTTAATCTGTCTGTCTCTCTCTCTTTACACTCAAGACATCCCTTTCTTTCTTTCACTCTGTTTTCTTTTGGCTTAAAAACAGTAACAGTCTTTCGGCATTTTTTCTCAGGTTATCTCATATATTACAAAATTTTCTTAAATTCGTGGTTGATCTGCAACTAGATCTTTGATTGGACGTGATCACAGCACTTTTTGGGTTGGTTAAGCCAATATTGAGTCACAAGCAATTCAGTCCAGTAAAATCTTCTTAGTAAAGTTAAATGTGTTGTTTAATCCTCTCAACGTATTATTTCTAATATTAATTGGTATAAGTATTGTATTGGTATCATTTTGGAAAAAGTAATGATAATGCTATTAATTATAACATAGCTATTAATATTGTTATAGCCAACGTGACCTCGTATTATTACTTGAATTTAAATTTATCGATATTTTTACATATAATGGGTTTTGGTAATGGTGATACTGACTTGTATTGATAATGGAATTTAGTAATTGGTAGTGGTATTGGTAAATATTATATTAGTATTTTTTATAGATAATCGGTAATGGTGATGTTGACTGGTATTGGCATTGATATTAGTATTAGTAATGATATTGATATATATATTGATCAAGGTTAGTATCGTATCAAGTGTCGTCTTAGTATTAAAACGTCACTGGATATTAAAACTATTGTTAATATTAGTAGGAGTATTGATTTTGGTATTAATATTGGTATTGGTATTGTTGTTTCTAATGGTGTTAGTGGTCTTGTTGGCATTGATACTGGTATTGATATTGATATTGGTATTGGCAGTAGTATCGGTACTGGTATTGGTATAGGTATTGGTATTGATATTGGTATTTGTATTAGTATTGGTATTGATATTGGTATTGGTATTGACATCGGTATTGGTATTGGAATTGTTATTTTTAGTATTGATATTGATAGTATTGTTAGTAATGGTATTGGTAAACATATTGATTTTGGTATTAGCATTGGTATTGAAATTATCATTGGTATTGACACCGGTATTGGCACTGTTATCAATTTTTATCAAGTCTTGATATTAATGCAATTATTCTAGTACTAAAATCAGTCCTATGGCACTAGTACTTGCTACGCGCTTCAAAAACCTTTTAATATCAAAGTAATATTTTTTTAAATTACAAACCAGATAAAAATTTTATTTAATTGGAAAGTACTAAAGCGCAAAATACAAGATATACACACTTAAGTCTCAAGTGTTCTGCAGCGTAACATATGCACCTCAAGGAAGTTTTGCAGGGGCGTCTGTGCGCACTTGGTTGGATTAATTGGAAACCCATATGCGTGAAGATATTTTTCATTCAAATGTAAACTGAAGCGGAAGCGTTGAAAATGCACCTTGAAAATGCACAAGCAACACACAAATAGCGTGTGGCATGTGGCATGTTGCAAAACACTTCAATGAGACACTCAAATGTGCGACGAGCAACGCGTAAAATGTTGCCAGCAAAGGAATTCGTATCCAAGTGAAACATTACAATGCTGAAAATAAATAAAAACGGAATAAAGGATAGAGGAGTGCATAAGAATAATGAAAACAATAAGTGGGAGAAAACGGAAATAAAAGTAAAATAAATAAACAAACACATGTGAGTGAGCATTTGCGCTTAAAACAGGAAGTCAGCGCTGTGGTGGCATTCAGCGGCATGAGTTGCATGGCGGCGGTAAGAGGATGCGGCGGGAGATATTGCAAGCTATCTGCTTGCTGATGCCACCGGCAGCTTAGCGCGGCAAAGAAAGTGCTGAAATGCAGTTGGCAATTTGCATTGCGATCATTTGCAATTCGCATTAAGTTTATAATTCCTACGAAGCTATCTGAAGAAGAAGAAAAAAAAAGTAACGGCAAATAGTAATTGTATGCGTTGGCGCTGCGATTGTAGGCAATGAAAGGGTGAAGCAGTAGAGTGGCTGCGCTTTAAGGCTCGCCTACTGCTCTTTCACTCACAGTGGTGCGCTTTGGTTTCCATCTTTACTTTGCACACACATTCATACATATACTCATCATATGTGCATCACTGCGTTTTACCGTTACTCTCTCGTTGCTTTTATTAACATATACATAAGAATGCCGCTGCTTACATTAAAATATTTTTTTTCCATTTCTTTTCATTTCGTTTGCAGGTTCACATCCGCCACGAATAGTCGAGCATCCGATAGATACGACGGTGCCGCGGCATGAACCGGCGACACTTAATTGCAAAGCAGAGGGCTCACCAACGCCCACAATACAATGGTTTAAGGATGGTGTGCCGCTGAAAATACTGCCCGGATCCCACAGGATTACGCTGCCGGCAGGTGGCTTATTTTTTCTCAAGGTAAGCGGCAAATAGCCAGCAATGACAATAACAACAACAACAAAATTTCAAAATAGTGCTCCTTTCAGCTATTTGCGCGCTTTGTTTTACTTATTTCCCTTCTGTTTCTTTTTTTTTTTTTGCTTTTTCATCTTGGCATATATTTGTCCTTTGCGCTGCATTCCTTTTAATGCTTTTTTTGTGCAGTTTGATATTTTCTTAGTTTATTTTCTCGTTTGTTATTTATTTCTTTTTTGTTATTTGCTCGCTGAGCCGGATTTATGGGTCGCTGTAATGATAGTGGCAATGGCTCGCGTACTGCGCTTTGTAAATGAGCCTGTGGCGCTGCAATTATACGAAGGCCCAAACCTTGCGCCATTACTTTTTTTTCTTAATATACCCTACTCTGATATTGTGTAAGCTTAGCAAGTATGCTGTCGTTGACAATAAAGAAGGTAGCTTATTTTCCTTGATTTTTTCTTTGCCGCTCTGGAGTTCCGTTGCGTTATTCGCATTTTTTTGAATTATTTAATTTGCTATTTATTTTTCCATTTAAATACCCACTCTTCGTTATGTAATTTAATTAATATAAACGAAGCTTGGCTATGTTTACAGCATTAATTTGTTTGAAAGTATACTGATATTATCAATTTTCTTGATCGACACCTGAAAAGGCGCTTGATGCCTTCAGAACACATGTTTTGGAGGTACCTCAATCGGAGTGGCAAAAGTGTTTTGACAATTGGTTCAAATGCATGCAAAAGTGTATAGATCTTGTTGGAGAATAATTTAAAAAAAACAAGAAAGCAATTTTCGATGATTAATATTTGTTGTTGTTCGCTTACCCCGAAATATAAAAACCAATCCTTACAATGTGTGTTTCTCTGCTAGGTTTAAAAATTGATTTCCGACTCAGCTAACGATACAAATTTTTTAAATAAATTTTATAGTTCTACACCCGGTTCTGTTGTAAAATATTATATGAGAGACAATCTATCGCACTTTGGTCCATTTTTTAAATATTTCCACTCATCTTTCAAACCTAGAAGCGCAAACAGATTTGAATCAATGAAGTATGTTATTTTAGTTAAAACGCACACCGCATTTACTTCACATAGTTAAGACACATACCATTCATTGGCTGACCTAAAAGATTATTATTGAGCGTATTTATTGACGAGCGGTAATAATATATGAGTTTGGCAGTTATTTTTACATGTTGACCAAGGTTTGTCTTTAATTTCATGTTCATGACATTTTTTGAATTTAATAACTAAATTTTCAATCATGTCGCAGTTATGACAATTATATAGCACTAATGTTATTTTTATCTCTTTAAAAAACCTATTATTTATAAAATACAAAAGTACAAAAATTATATTAAAAAAAAGTATGAAAAAAAATAAATTTTTTATTGTTTGCTGCTACATCTAACTTGCGCAAGATCCTTGCAAAAAAATATAATTTTTCTCTAATTTTCCTTAAGGCATTTCGCTGACCCAGCATATCTCATCTGGCCGCCTTATGCCATCGCCATTTTTATGCTCCGCTATCTTCTATTTGCTAGATAATTATCTTTCAAGTCTTAATATTATTTACTTTTTAATTCAAGCGCCCGTTTCCATTTCTGCGTTGATAATTACTTCCTGACTCGCGTTTTTGATTTGCAATTTTTTTCTTGTTTTCTTTGTGGCACATACAGTTGCTTTACACTTTCTTTGTGTGCGTGCTTCTACTTTTCATTTTATTTATTTTAATGTTTCGTTCATTCATATAATTTTTATTCGCATTTAAATACCCATTCTGCCATGTTTCACACCATTTCTGTTTTAATTTGCAGCGTTTTTGTATTTTTGTAATTTTTTGCCTTTTGTCATGTTTTATTTTCATTTAAATTCTCATTTCTCAACTGTTGAGCGTTTGAGCGCACTAATTACTTTTTTATTATTTATTTTTTAAATTTTTTTTGTTGGATTTCTTTTTAAACTCGCGCGAATTCTTCATGGCAAAGCGCTGTTGCTTTTTTGTGTTTAATTTTATATTTATTCTTTTTTTTTTGGTTTTTGCTTTGCTGTGCCTGGCAGCCGTTAGCAGACGCCGGAATTTGACTTTAAATTGCAAAGAATGCAGAGAGTGTGCATGAAAAACGATTAAAAGCAAAAATGCTCAACTTCATTAACGTTAGGTAAATAGCGTTGGCAAATCCAGAGGCTATATTTAATTCAACTTAACGAACATTCAGCGACCTTACTTCATCCACTTTTCGTCTGAGTGCGTGGCTCTAATGCTGCTGCTGTTGCCTACACTCAGGCGCACTCAGCATACACCTCAGTGTACGCCTCAGCGCTCAGCTGTCATTTCCCAACTCTGCTTTTATTTTTTTTCACTGCGTTTGATGAGTTGGCGAACAACTCTTGCGCTTGTGTTGCAAGTTCGAAATGCGTTGCAGTCGCTTAAAGTCTCAGAAAAGAAAAGAGTTGAACGTCAGCTGCCGCCAAAGCCACTCAAATCTACCTGGCATTCACCCTAGTTTTATAGTTCTGCAGTTGTGGCTCGTTCAACTCCCTTGTATACCCTCACTGCACCGCTAACATCCTTGCACCTTTGTCAGCGCTCTGTCTACCGTGCGTCTACTGTCTGCTACCTTGGCTAACCGTTGTTCAGTCACACACTCGTACACATATACACGCGCGTTCATGAGCGAACGCAGTGCAAGTGGTGTACTCTGTTTGTTTGCACTCACATCGCTCTCTGTCATGTTTGTTTAGGCGTACATGTATATGTATGTATGCGTTTGTACATATGTGTGCGCTTGTTTGCATTCTGCTTTTAGTGCACTTCATACATATGCAATGTTTATTTACTTTCTTGAGTGTATTTGCCTGACGCAGACGAAAACTGCGCTCACATGCTTGCGCTTGCTTATCAATGTGTGTGTGTGTGTGTGTGTGTCGCTTGTGAACTCCAGCTCTCAGAATTGGCAGGCTATAAAGCGACACTTTAAACAATTCCAACCAAGCTCACACTGATGAACTCAGCTTTTACGCCAACTAAATGGGGACTTTCTAAGCAAAATACCTTCGCTTATTTATGAATAGTTTAATAACTATTGTGCTAATAGCTACAAATTAATTATTTAGATAGTAGTCAAATTTATATATAGCACAAACCTCGACTTGTATCTACTTTTCTTAAATTTCGTTCGGTTTTTGATGCAATTTTTAGTGTGATATTTACAAATGAATTTAGTTCGGAGCAAGCAGAGAGGTTTTTTAGTTCAGTTGGGCAGTGCCATGAGTTTTGTAATACATGGCGTATGAGCAACTAAAGTTCTTATAACCATGATTAAATGCTACATAAGGGTACATATTGGCTGATATATTAGCACAAGAAAATTATAATGAACATATATATATAAACCATATATCCAGAATAAAATCAAATCATTGTCTTAAGCAAGCACTGTTACATGAGTTAACAGGAGGAAGAGAGTCGATGCTTTCACACATGCATCTCATAGTACATAAATTACTCGTATATATCAAAGTAAATAAATTTTTGTAGAAATAAATGAATTTGCATTAATTTTCAATGTGGATAACATTTAATTTATAATAACACCAATAACTTCAAATCTGTCTCGAAGTGCCGTTGCGTATGAGTAATATTATATATAAAAGTAGTACATAATCGTAATAAAAGTAGAGTAAGCGTAATGAATAAACATGAGAGAGCGTTAATTTCTGCTGCACCAAAGTTATAATACCCTTCACAGGTACATTTGTATAGGGTATAAAAAGATCTTTATATTTACTTTGAACGGTCAGTTTGTATGGCAGCTATATGCTATAATAGTCCGATCTGAACAATTTGTTCGGAGATTGTACCACTGGATAATCATCCGCACCGAATTTCATGACGAAATCTCGACAAATAAAAAAGTTCTTCATACCGGGACTGGATTTTGTTTGACCAGTTTGTATGGTAGCTATATTGTATAGTTTATAACCCCAATATATCGTGAAAAAATCTCGAGAAATAAAAAAATTTTTTATACAAGCACTTGATTCCGATCGTTCAGTTTGAACGGCAGCTATATGTTGCATGTGGTACGATATCGGCTGTTCCGAAAAAGAAACAGCTTATTGGCTAAAAAAGGATGTGCTCAAAATTTCTGATGGATAACTCAAAAAATACGTGTGTATACAAATAGATGGATATGACTTAATCAGCTCGTCATATTTTATAGGGTATCCGACGTTTTCTTCTGGGTGTTGCAAACTACATGCAAAATTAATATAACGTGTTCAGAATAAAAAAACTGATATATGGTGTGAGAGAATATTATTAAAAATCTTGTTTTAAAGTTTCAGAAATCATACTAGAAAAAATTGTTAAAATTTACTTCAGAAGTTTATTTTATAGCGCCTCCATTCTTTATTACTATTTTTAGACTAAATTAAACATGATTAAAATTAAAGTTCTAAGAAAATTTAAATCTCAAATAAATTTTACTAACTATGCTGATTTTACACTATACGGCAGCAGCAGTGCGTATGAGTAACTTTTATTAGAAAAGAAAAATGATTCATACCTAAAAGAAAGCTGAACAAAATAAAGTTGCCGCACTTTCACTGCGCGCAAAATGCGCTCAAACACATACATATGTATTAAAACACACACACACATTTCATTTGCCATACACACATTACTTTTCCTACACACTCAAACTGCTACAGCTTCACACAAAGAACTGCATGAGTTTACTTAAAAAAGCTGCTAAATCACTTCAAAATATACTTATTTGCCGCGAGAGTAGCATAAAAGTTCTAAAGAGCTGCTTATGTGCCGCTCCTTTATATAAATACACTTGCATTTCTTTTAAGCAACCATTAGTTATAGCTGCCCATATATATTTTGTGGTGAAAACATACACGTTTGCACACACACAAACACATTTGCAAAAAAGCGAGTGGAGTTTGTATTACTTGGAGAAAATTGCGCGCATAACTCTTTGCCAG